TCTAGACATTTTTACTTGTTTTACATAATTTTATTAAGTAAAATTTTAACTTTGCTCATTTCTTACAACAAGTAAAATTATCTGCCAGTATAGTGAGATAATTTGACTTAATAAAATCAAGGTAAGGTAAAGTTTACTTAATAAAAATAAGGTAAACTATCTTAAAATAAGCTTACAACATTCTCAACAGGAGAAATCTTGGATATATCGACTAGATTTAAGATAATTTTACTTGACAAGAAACAGGGAGATTCACTCGAAAGAGGCCCTGAATATTCTGTTGTAACTCCCATTAGGATGAAGCAACATGTATCAAAAAAATCCGCTACATACCTCGACGTATGTGTAATCGATTACATTGCATGCAATGCTGGAAGTGATCTCCATTTTCTGCCAGACACATTTCAATGCGGTGCTCCACATTCCTGAACTATCGGCAAGCATATCAGGGGGGGCAGCAATTTCATGTTGGATGTTTTCCTTCAAATCTTCCACAGTGCGAGGTTTGTTCTGATCATAGCGTACCCCAAAGGAAGAAGTATGGTAGTGTCAGGTCCGGCGACCGTGGTGGCCAAAGCCCTTTCAAATGACCCTGTTGCCGAAGAAGGACTCAATTTCTTCCATGCTCCTTGCCGATGTGTGACACGTTGCTCCTTCTTGGTACAACTAACCTTACGTTAACTCATGATCATCCAGTTGATTCACGTACTGTTAAAATGTCCTGGTGTCAAAGAAAATGGGCCCTATGATGCGCAACTGAGACACGGCACAGCATACACCGATTTTTTGATTATGGATCAGTTCATGAACTGACCCTCCTGCTGCTGCTGCATAATCTAAAACTAATCTAATTAACCATTGCTCCGCCTGTTTTTCCCCGTTTTGTATTCTAATATTTTATATTAATGCTGTTTGCTATCCGGTGTCGACAGAGGAGGATGGGTTCCCCTTTTGAGTCTTGGTTCCTCTCAGTGTTTCTTCCTCTTACTCTTCGGGAGTTTTTCCTTGCTGCTGTCTCCATTGGCGACGCTCATGGGGGCTCGAACCCAGATTTTTATGTAAAGCTGCTTTGTGACAACACCTGTTGTAGAAAGCGCTATATACATAAACTTTGACTTGACTTGACTCCGTATACTGAGGAGCACACTGCACGTTCAGATTGCTTTGTCCTAGCAAGAGTTATTACAGAATATTCTGGGCCTCTTTCGAGTGAATCTCGCTGTACTATTTTTTGCAGTTCTCCAACATTTTGCATGAGAGAGAAGCGCATGTTGTGTTTTTCCATGCACACTGCTCATAAACTGTGAGCTTGGGCTTGCACGCCAGTTTAGTACAGAACACGTGAGCAAAATGCTCAAATTTGCAGCTGAAAGTGACTCAGTGCGTCCCTGTTTGGATGCAGGCCGGGCCCAGATCAACTCTAGGAGTCGTTTAATGCTGGTGGTTTTACTCTGAGTGCTGATAGCTGTTGTCATATGACTGTCCTCCCCAAAACTCCCCCCCCCGACACTATCGCCCCGACACTGTCCCCCAACACTGTCCCCCTGCTGAAGAACTCAGAGCACCCCGCACGTTGCTGTTCTTCCTCCTGTAGGAAACAGAAGTTGAGTTATTGCTCTGGAGAGAGAGAGAGAGACGCTTCTGCGTTCTCCATTAAAACCTGTATGCCCATTCTCTCTCCCTCTCCTCCTCTCATCCGTCCTGTTTTCCTCTTCCTCTGTCCCTCTCTGCCTCTCTCTCTCTATCCTGTGTGCCTCCACAGGCTCCAGCAAGTGTTAAAGACATATTCAGGGCCTGTGCATAACATCTGTGCAATGCACAGGCTCTTATAATGACAACGACAACAATAATATTACTACTAATAACAATGATAAAAATAGTCTTCATTTATGTAGCATTGAAGTTGTACCATCACAGGATAATAAAACACTGGAAAAGTGAAACCACTGGAAAGCTAAACCTTTACAGTTAGAAAATGTGATTTGACTGGGTGCTTGGTTGTTCAGTGACCTGTGTGATGAGTGTTAAAGTGATAGAAGGACCAAAAATCAAATTTACAGTCATCACTTCACCCTAAATGGAATCAATCCTCCGAGACATGTTTGGTGTCTGAGGTTTGGATTGGAGCCATGAGGCAATTGGACTTTCTGACACTATATCATATTGCGGCGTTTCAGAAGGGGCTTTAGGGGTGTGGTATGCAAAGCTGCACTGCACCCCCCACCCTTTACTGAAAATGGCAGTTGTTGTTATAGTTGCTGTTGTTGTTGTTCATTATTTTAGTTGAGTGCGCTTTACTGTGTCAGGCTGTGGGTTTAGTTAAACTGGGTTGAGTGGGAAAGTTCTATGGCTAGGAGCTCGACCATTTTTAAGGTGCACTTTTTTTTTTGCTGGTGTAAATAAAAAAACACTTTTCGCAGCAGAAATAACGGCCTCTTCTAGCCTTCTACGCTGACGACACAATACGTTATCGATAAAAAATTGACACATAAATATGTCACATAACAAAAAACAGTAGTAGCAGCTAAAGATGCACCGATACAGGGATTCCAGGCCGATGCCGATATCTGATGTTTTCCGTGTACATCTGACGGTACCGATGTAGACGCCGATTACGAATATTCAAATGTGCTTACATCATTATAACGCTGTTGTCGGAAGAAAACCTTATATCTACATTTTTTGATGTTTTTCAGTTTTTTACATAATTTGAAAATCCCTGTTGCTCTGTACATTGTGTGTAAATTTCATGATGAACGGACCAAAAGAAACGGCACAAAATGACTCAGAAAGAATTCTGGTTCCATTGACTTACATTAAAAGTAAAGTAGGTTTTTTCCTTCCCCTGTAAAGTTACCATGTTGGAGGTTTTCTACCAACAACAGCGATAAATTTTAATCAGTCTGAGAAGAAACAGTGAGTCACCAGTGGTCATACAGTGTCAGTGTTAGAGATTACTGAATGATGATGATACTGATGAGTTAGCACCATGCTAACTTTGCAGCTAAGGGAGGGGAGTAAATTTCTTCATCAAAGAACTGCTTTAAAGAAAGATTATGAGTGGAGCAGGAGACGCAATGAGATGTTCTGAAATGGAGGTAGGAAGACAAAAGAGAGAGGAATTATAGTTGAGGCTGGCATTACGCGACCACTGTTAAAGATCGGGGGAAGTGGACATGATGACCCTCAGGAATGTGTGCATGTGTTTGTGTGTGTGTGAGTCATGTGTGCACACATGACAAAGAATGACTGTGTGTAGGAGGTTAAAGATTGGATCCAGACCTGCCTTGAGAGAAAAGAGGTGGAACGTCTGAGCATCTCTGCTGTGCCTTTTCAGAATTAAATAACATTTATGTTTGCAGCTTTTTGGCAGACGGTCTAATCCAGAGCGACTTACAATTTGATGATTTTACACAGGTAGGTGAAGGGAGTGTTAGGAGTCTTGCCCAAGGACTCTTATTGGTATAGTGTAGAGTGTTTACCCAGGCAGGGGACTGAACCCCAGTCTACAGTGTAGAAGGCAGAGGTGTTACCCACCACACTATACTGACCAACACTGATCAGGCATAGCATTATGACCACCTCCTTGTTCCTACGCTCCATTTTATCAGCTCCACTTACTATATAGGTGCACTTTGTAGTTCTACAGTTACAGACTGTAGTCCATCTGTTTCTCTGATACTTTGTTAGCCCCCTTTTACCCTGTTCTTCAGTGGTCAGGACCCCCATGGACCCTCACAGAGCAGGTACTATTTGGGTGGTGGATCATTCTCAGCACTGCAGTAACACTGACGTGGTGGTGGTGTGTTAGTGTGCGTTGTGCTGGTCTGAGTGGATCAGACACAGCAGTGCTGCTGGCATTTTTAAACACTGTGTCCACTCACTGTCCACTCTATTAGGCACTCCTACCTTGTCAGTCCGCCTTGTAGTCCGCCATCTGCTGCCGCACAGTTTGTGTTGGTCATCCTCTAGTCCTTCATCAGTGGTCACAGGACGCTGCCCACAGGTTGCTGTTGGCTGGATGTTTTTGGTTGGTGGACTGTTCTCAGTCCAGCAGTGACACTGAGATGTTTAAAAACTCCAGCAGCACTGCTGTGTCTGATCCACTCAGACCAGCACAGCACACACTAACACACCACCACCACGTCAGTGAGGGGGGTGTGGGGGGGTATTCGATTTAGTAAGTTTTTCAATAGAACTGAGTTGGTATGTGCCCTGTGATGGACGAGCGAGCTGTCCAGGGTGTTTCCTGCCTTCTGCCCAATAAGCACTGTGAGAGGCTCCAGCACCCCCCTAACAATCACTTGGAAGACCTGGTCGACACCAAAACTGCCCCATCAGATAAACAGCACTTAAAGCTTTCATCTCTGAGAGAGAGGAGAAAATCAAGCTGCTTCAGATCTGAAACAACCCCTGGAGGATAAGCGGCTTAGATAGAATAAACGAACGAATTAATGATTAATGAATGAATTGTTTTTTTCTTGTTTATACCAAAAGTCTTTCAGCACACAGGGGGCTCACCCTATTCACCCTGATGGTAGATCCAGCCATGCACTGCAAAATATGGTATCTTGACAAGTGAAGTGATCTGAAATCTAGTCGATATATCTAATATTTCCCATTTTGTGCACTTATTACAGGATTTTCTAGCTCATTTTTAGACGTTGTTTACTTGTTTTGGGTAATTTTATCAAGTAAATTTTATTTTTAAAACAAGCAAAATTATCTGAAAATATAGTGAAATAATTTTAATAAATAAAAATACTCAAAATAAGTAAAAAATATTTGGAAATAAGTTAAACAATCTTAAATTAAGCTTTTTAAATGTTCTTTCAAGTGACACTTCCTGTAGCTGCACCCCTGCTGTGTCTGCTTGACTGCACAAACAACTACAGCAGAGAACAAAAAGCCAAACTGCCTCAGTTTTCCCTGAAGTATCAGAGCCGGTGATGACCAGACAAGGTCAGTTTGTGACTGTTTGCCCTGTGTTTGTGTTTCAGGTGGAGAGGGGATGTCGGTGAAGCTGCGATTCGATTGTCCAGCTGAAGGTGGGATGGTGCAGAGGAGTCGCTCCTTCACTGGAGTCAATACGCTCAGTGGCCGGCGCAGGTCAGTGTGTGTGTGTGTGTGTGTTGGTAAATGAAGATGCGCTGAGAGACCGCAGCTGGGTTTGACATCAGCCCGTCTTCCTCTGTACAGCATATGTGCATGCGTGGTCACTGGAATACGGAAAATAATACCCATCCCCCACAACTGTTCACAGAAATATCATCATGCTAACACACTTCACAATTCATCTACAGTCCAGTGTGAAAGTCAAAGCCAGTCCAGCACCAGTTCTTCATTTTTACAGGAGATATCTGTGAGATTAGATATAAGATAATCCACTTGCATAATAAAGGAGAAAGACAAAGTAAAAAAGTGAAAAACAGAGGTTTCCAAAACTGATTAGAAGCTACAGAGAAAATGTGTCTCCTATCCTAACAACCACCTGGAAGACCTGGTAGACACCAAAACTGCCCCCATCAGATAAACAGCACTTAAAGCTTTCATCTCTGAGAGAGAGGAGAAAATCAAGCTGCTTCAGATCTGAAAACATCCACAGGTGTTTCTGTCCATCCTTCCACTGTGAGAAGACGACTCAGCGCTGTGGGTCTGAAAGGATGTGTAGCTGTCAAGAAGAACCTCACTGAGAAAAGGAGACGGACACATCAAACAAAAGCTGAACGATGGACTGACCACCCCAGAGTCCAGACCTCAACACCACTGAATGTGTTTGATTACTTCAGAAAATGATCAACCAGCTTCTAAGACTGAACTTTGGAGGTGTGTCTGCAGATTCTTTGAGAAAAAAGTCTGAAAAGTACAGAAATGAATAATTAGTACAGGAGTACCTTTGTAGCTGCTGTGTGTGAGGTTAGACATGCTTTACAGAACGCTGGTAAAAATCATATTCAATCTAATCTTTATAGGAAGTTCTGGCAATTTGACGTCTATTTTAGCAACTCCTTAAGGTGGTTACTTCCACTCGTACATACTAAGCTCCGCTGCTTTAGAGAGACCTATAAACCCCAAATTAGGCTAAAGTTTAAACAAATTTCAAATCGCAACAAAATTGCAATTGGTGGTGGATCATTTAAACTGGAAACTCAACAATATTTAGCAAACCTAACCTTTAATCTAGATTCATTAGGTTTAATGGGATTTTTACCAGTGTCCTGTAAAGCTTGTCCATCCTCACAACAGTAGTTATGATAGAACTTGTTTGTGGACGTAGCGTGGAGCGGTCACTTAGCTCGGTTTGTGGTTGTATTCTAATAAGAAATGTATTCCTTTCAAGGACAGAAATGTCAGTGTTGTTACACAATGAGCACAGTTATTTGTAGAAGAGAGTCTCGAGATGATGTTGAGGTTGAACTCCTTCGGGTCTGCACTGACCACTGACCGCTTACATAACATGCAGCTGCTCCTGTGAGTTTGTGTGTTATGATATTGAAACTCTCTCAAAGTGTCTCTCCATGCTTTCATATTAGTATGCAATTAACCCCTCCAACCAGGAATTATTGTTTTGGTACATATTATCCAGTGACTACAGCACATTTAAAAAAAAAACATAGCCTAATTTCCTCTGCTATTGGTCCATTTGTGTGAAAAACAGTCTCTTCCAGCTTCTCTTTGTCCCTCAGGGTGAAACGGGTTGCTTTTGTTCCTGTGCCTATAAGATTGCTATATGTAAATGAGCTTTATTCTGATTGGATGCCCTGTACTGTGCATTGTTTAAAGAGCAGTCTGAAGTGAAACACTCCTTATAACTTCAGTGTGAGTGGGCGGGGCTAAACTGCTGTAGGCTGAGTAAGTGGATATATGTAAATGTGTTGGTTTTTGTGACATCACAAAAATAATGGCTAGAACAATAACTGGAAAGCTCTTTTCATGTTCAGAGTGTGGCCGTGTTTTGTCAGCTGTCGAGGTGTTAGAAAAAAGCCCAGACTAGTTTTAGGGGGGGAGAGGGGCACAACCTAACATATTTCGTTTTTTGGCACAATACGTTAAAAAACTTCAGTTTTAGTTGGAATGATCATGTCTTCATACATCTCTGCTACAAAAAAACACTGAAACTTTGTTTCCAGCTCCTAACGTTCATGTACAATTCCACCCAAAATGATGGGAGGTGCAGTGTTCCAGTTTAGCCCATGGGTGGGTTCACTGTAACAGACAGAGGGTCAGAAAAGTCTAGAAAAGTCTGCTAGAAAAGTCTGATCAATCAGTGCAAACAGAGTTAATTCAATAGAATTCTATGTTGTAAGAAACAAATATATTTTCCAGCCGTACTGCACTACATATTATCATCTATAAGACAGACAGACGGATCAGTCGTTATATATGAACACTGACATGAGACTGTGTGTCAAACAATGACAGATTTATTTTTGTCCAGTAAATAAAAACATCAAATATCAGTAAAATATGAACATTGTTTCTGAATAACTACAGCTTTACCAGCTCATTATGTCAATTTCATTCATATACTTATTAAACAAAAAGACTGAATGTCCTTTATTGGTCTTTGTGTACTGAAGGTGTCTGAGCTGTAAGGCTGTGTAAGAACTAACCCCACAGTGCGGAGGCTGGACTGAAGCCCAGCTGCACTTGCTGTGAGCTCGTCAGCTGCTTCTAAACGGTGCTGCGCTGTAGGAAACAAGGTGGAGATTAAAGTGATATGAGGCTGGATTTTGTGATTCACACAAACAGCTCAGTAACCAAAAAATGACTTACATGCCCTCAAAACACTCTTTGGCTCAGATTTCTTTACAACGCTGACCAATCGCTCTGAATTTTGGTGGGAGACTGCGGCTGGGAAATGTGGTAATGTGGTCAGAAGCTCATGCTGCTTGACCCTCTATAACAACATTAAAAGTTGGTTAAACTGTGCCTTGTGTTAGGTTGCTCCCCACACTCCCCTACTCCATGTTGAATAAGTGCCTAGAGAGAAAGCATCCTAGATATTGATTGGTCAGCTGTGGAGGACATACGGCACACTTTTGTGAGTGCTTAACAAAAAAGTTGTTGATTTTTTTTTTATCTTAAACCTCATTGGTTAAAAAATGGCAGAGCACCAGGCGAGAGCAGTGCTTTACAACTGCACTGTGTGTTTCTATATAGAAAACTATGAAAAGAAGTGTGCTGCTCAAAACGGTTCCATAAGGCACCAAAGAGGGTTCTACGATTGTTATGATGTCATGTTTTTAACAATACAAGAACCTATTTTGGCTGCCAATAAACACAAATTAAAAAAGCTTCTTTATGGGTTCTTTAGTAAAGAAAATGATGCTATGTAGAACCATGAACACTTAGAGAACCCTTTGCATGATTAAAGTGTTCTCTGCATCATGAAAGCGTTCTTCAGATTGATGGAGAATGTGTTTTATATGGTTTTATAAAGCATCAAAAATGGTTCTTCTATTGTTACAGGCTTGACACCTATATAGAACCATATACAACACAGTCTCCATCAATCAGAAGAACCGTTAAATGGTGCAAAGAACCCTTTAATCATGCAAAGGGTTGTTAGAGTGTTCGTGGTTCTGTATAGAACCATTTTCTTTACTACAGAGTCCTTGAAGAACTATCATTCTTAAGAGTGTCGACGCATTTTCAAAAAGGTTCTATGTAGAACCGTATACAACACATTGTCCAGCAATCTGAAGAACCATTTCACCATGCAAAGAACCATTTAAGCATGAAACGGTTTTATATAGAACTCATGGTTCTAAGAAGAACCATTGCCTTTACTAAAGAACTCTTAAAGAACCTTCTTTTTTAAGTGTGTCTTTTAATCAGTTTTATTTGTGTATTTTTCTCAGGTTGAAATTCAAGTCTTTAATCTGGGCTGCAAGTCATTTAAGGTTGCATCACAAGTCAGTTAAAGTGATTAGAGTCTGAGTCACTGACTCGTGTCCCCATCTCCACCTAAAGAAACCGTTTAAGTGCTAAAATGTTTGGATTGTTGCAGTTGCAGTGTTTTTATATGTGCCGTTCTAATTATGCAAGATAACAGAAGCATCTGCAAAGAATGTTTTCATATTTTCCCATGTGACCTGCATGATATCCGAACATGTTTTGGAAGTTTTTGCGTGTCTGTCGTGTTTCACTGAGGGGGCCCTGCGTTACAGCACATCAATAACATCTACATCACTGAGAGGCGGAATGTAAATCCTGCTCTGAATGCAAGAGCTGGTGTCATCTACTGACCCCCTGAGCCGCGCGCAGGAATGCATTTCCTGCAGAGAGGAGTTTATTTATGCTGTGGAGTCACTGAGTTCTTCACTCAGCGCTCGCATCTTCTGACAGGCCACGCTAGTCCAGAGAGATTTAGAGGAGTTTGGGGATTTCGCTGCAGATGGAGCTTTAATTCCTGACACACAAACATATTCTGATGTTATAACATACAATTCTCTTCTCTTCTCTTCTCTTCTCTCTCTCTCTTCTCTCTTCTTTTTTTCTCTTCTCCTCTCCTTTCTTCTCTTCTCTTTTCTCTTCTTCTCTTCTCTTCCCTCTTCTTCTCTTCTCTTTTCCTCTCCTTTCTTCTCTTCTCTTCTCTCTTCTTTTTTCTCTTCTCCTCTCCTTTCTTCTCTTCTCTTCTCTTTCTTTTTCTTCTCTTCTCTTCTCTTCTCTCTTCTTCTCTTCTCTTCTCTTCTCTCTTCTTCTCTTCTCTTTTCCTCTCCTTTCTTCTCTTCTCTTCTCTTTCCCTCTCTTCTCTTCTCTTCTGTCTTCTCTTCTCTTCTCTTCTCTTCTCTTCTCTTCTCTTCTCTTCTCTTCTCTTCTCTCTTCTTCTCTTTCCCTCTCTTCTCTTCTGTTCTCCTTTCTTCTCTTCTCTTCTCTTCTCCTTTCTTCTCTTCTCTTCTCTTTCCCTTTCTTCTCTTCTCCTTTCTTCTCTTCTCTTCTCTTCTCTTTCCCTCTCTTCTCTTCTCTTCTCTTCCCCTTTCTTCTCTTCTCTTTCCCTCTCTTCTCTTCTCTTTCCCTCTCTTCTCTTCTCTTCTCTTTCCCTTTCTTCTCTTCTCTTCTCTTCTCTTCTCTTCTCTTCTCTTCTCTTCTCTTCTCTGTTTAAAGGCTGTCTTCAACCCGTGGTTCTCTACGAACCAAAGCTCAGGCAGGGAAATCTCCCAGAATCCCCTCTTCTGCTCGGATGGTTGGCGGTATTTGGGGTCAGCAGCCTGAGCAGGTGGACAGAATCTTCCAGGCCTTACGGAAGGGGCTCAAGTATGTACCAATCATTATCTTCAAATAAACGGATTATTTTTACAAACTGGTTCAAAGTCACATTTACTGGACTGAGTGACCCTACACCCTAATTATGATTATTTTAATAAAATTAATGAATGTTCCATTTTGTCACTGCCAAAACAATCATAACTCTACCAAACTGTACCAAATGTGTCAGCTGTGACTGTTTCAGCGACAATTTTAGCTCATTTTGAGATGAAAAAAAAAAAGCATTGAACAGCTGTTCACACATAAAGTCATCATATTTTTAATTAAAACACTAAAAAGTTTACTTAATAGCACAAAATATGTGTTTCAGTACTGACAATTCTTAATGTTCCACACCGATTTTCAGAGTTTGGGACACATTTACTTCAAAACAATGGGATCTAACTGCTCACCATGTGGCCATGAGGGACAGGGATGCAGCCTCACTTCCTGCTCTAAAATACAGGGGTGTGGCTAAAATAAGGCTCCGCCCACAGACTAAAACCCTCTGTGTTTTGGTAGCGACATGAAAATGTGGGGCAGCATTTTTGTATTCAAAAATTAAAGTCCTGATAAATCTAAATCTTTCAACTTTAAAAGAAATCAAAAAGACCACTTAAATAAGAATGTAAAAAACGAATGGAAATCCCAATAAAAAAGGACTCTATAAATGATGACTTTGTACATTTTTGGCTTAATACTATCTCTTTTGATGCCTTAGATTTAAATATGGTCCCTTTTATTTCCTCTGTGTTTTGGTTCTAGTTAAACTCATTAAGAAACTGATGAGACTGAAAGGAAAAACATGTATGAAGTGTTAATGCAGTACAGTAAAAGGCAAAGTAGAGTTAGTTTGTATCCTGTTCACACATGGTCTCTGGAAGAAGCAGAGATAATACTGATATAGTTATTAGAAGCAGAGCAGCAATTCTGTACAATCTAACATGACAGAACCAGCCAGACGTTCGCAGTAAAAAACGAGGAACGAGGCTTTACTTGTAAAGGGTTTGACAAGAAGTGTAGTCGGTGAACAGGTGTAGGTCAAATCCAAAAAAGACCAAAGACAGAAAAGAACAAACATTTCAAGGAAGTGATCAGGCGACCGGATCCAAAAAAAGGGCAAAGGCAAATAAGGCAAAAAATCAGAAAATCCAGAAGCACAGGCAGAACACAATAGAACGAAATAGCACGCAGGAAATGCTTAGTAGCTTCACTACACTGTTAGAAATAAAGGTTCTGTTCAGGTACATTTCTCGTTCAGCAAGGTACAAACAGTGTAGACGTTCCCTCAAAGGTACAACAGTGGTTTTAAGGTCTGATTGTGAACCTTAAATAAGTTTTTCCAGGTGAAAAGTTCGTATTTGTATCTTTTCATAACCGAATGTTTTAAACAGAACAGTAAAATAAAAGCCTGGAGACGAGACGGGGTGTGTGGAGTCAGTACAGCTTAGAACATATCATTTCAGTGGATTATGGTTCAGTTATGTTCCCTGACTAAAGGTACTGAGATGGAGCCTTGAGGGTCCCACCCCAGTGACAAGAGGGGGACTGCCCCAGAGACAGTTTAGGACCTTTTTTCTGAGAGTGTAGTAGAAGCAATACTTCGCAAAGAATCTAGTCTAAAGCCCAGGCTTATAAACTAAACTAAGGCTAGTCACATGACACACAAAGCAGGTGGAACAGATCAAAATTCAGGTGATTGTGAACGGTGATGGGTGGATTGCGGAGGTTCTACAGTCACATGATCTCACAGAGGATCCTGGGAAATGGAGTCTTTGGGTGAGTCGGAGCTTGAGAGATGCATGATCAGGGAACTTGTAGAGAGGAGAATTTCCACTCTGCTATGTCTTCAGGGTTTCTCAAACACTAGAGGGCGCTCCCGAGCGAGTCCAAAATGAATGGGTTAAGATGGAGCATTTGTGTAAAATCATAGTTTATAAATGATTAAACATTTTTAATGTAAAAGAATGCAATAATTTCCTGAACACAGAGCAGCATAAAACATTTTAACACCGCTCTTATATTTTTAAGAGCTTTTAAACTCGAGTTATAGGAGTTTAAAACAGCCCCTCATGTATGTTCACGATGTCAGTGAGTGCAAACAGCCAATGAGCTGCTCCGCTCGCCAACCAATCAGCACTCAGTAGCATTAATCTTAGCGTCCTGCTACCCAAAACCCTGTAGAATAAAGGAAACATACAGGTGATATTTCTTTGCTTTTTTAGTAAAATAAATCCTTCTGCTTTCTAAGATTAAAGGAAAGTTTTGGGCGAGTGATTAGAAACTATTTTAACTTTTTGTTTTTAGCCGTTTCGCTCCATTCACCCCTAGTCATTTAGGACTCCCTCACGGCGCCCTCTGCTGTTTTGCCGTCCTGTTTTTGATATAATGGGGGAAAAAGGATGTGGCCAGCCTCCTCATAAACCAGCTCTGGCGTAACATACAAACATACATTCAGACCAAAATTCAAATCAATAATAGTCTATTTTTGATATTGTAAACATGTGTTCAGTCAGAGTATCAGTAGAAGAATTCTGGGGTGTATTCCTATGTTTTGTTGCTCTAAATGGTCATAGACAATGAAATTTTGGCTCTGTTAGATCATTTTATTTTAATGTAGATACAGCTGTATACAAAATTTGGGCACCACTGATCAAACTCCAAGTTTTGTTAATTTTCCATACATAATTTAATACACAATTACTGTTTATTAGCTGAATTTGATATACTGGGTGAAAAACGAAGTATAAAATGTGGGATGTGCAAAAGTTATAGCACATTTTATATTTTTTATTTTATGTTTTTTTTTCAATATGTTAAACTCAGCAAGAAAAATAGAAATTGTGAGTAAATATTTTCAGAGAAATGCCATATTTAACTGTGTTTCTCTGTAGCCAATGTGTTTATTTATCTTCACTCAGAAAATCAGCAAAACATGTAATTTACCAAGGTGTGTTTGTTTGTATACAGATGTATGGGAGTGATAACAGCATTTAGAGATTGTATTACTTAATAAGAAGAGTAAAATCAAAAGCAGAATAAATTATTTTCTTCTTTCTGCATAAAGGGGTTAATAAGATCTTGAACCTGTGCAGTGAAAACTCTTAACCAAACTGTAAAGTCTAAAAATGGTCCACAGACAGAGCTGTAAGTAGGGACAACAAGCAGATGTGGGATGTTTAATTCATCAGTCTGTGCTTCTCCGAAGGTAGAGGCTGTGTTGAGTTCTATTTGCAGGTGTATTAGATGACATTAACAGATTATATTAACTGTTTGCTCTTAGGGAGTATCTGGAAGGACATCAGATGGAGCTGGACTTCCTCTCATCCCAGCAGAGAGACACTAAAAGGAACTCCAGACTGGTGAGGCAGACTTTATTTGAGTGCTCCAGCAAATTGTCCTGACTAATTTTTATCCTCTGTTCTTTTTGTGAGCTTTATTAATCTATCAGCAGTATTAGGAGTTACAGCTCTCACATTAGAACCGTCATCTCTCTCTAGGCACATGCTCTTTTTAGTCTTTGATTGTGGCAGGTTAGCATCATCAGATCACGGTCATCTGTACAGTCCAGACACTGTTTGTCACTCCTCAATGTAACTCGTATACATTGGAAGGAAACATATACACAAACACACAGCAGCAGCACATTACACAGAACTACAGAGTGCAGAGGAGTGCAGAATATACAATGAATACACCAGACAGTGAACACACAGGACAATAAATACACAGGACGATAAATACACAGGACAATAAATATACCAGACAGTGAACACACAGGACAATAAATACACAGGACAATAAATACACAGGACAATAAATACACAGGACAATAAATACTAGACAGGACAACAAAACAGTATTTGCAGCTCGGCGTCACATATATGTACATACACACATGCATATATATGGAGAGGGTCTAGATCAGTCCAGGCAGATGTTGGAGAGAATCTAGATTAGTCTAGCTGGATGTTGGAGAGGGTCTAAATCAGTCCAGGTGGTGTTGGAGAGGGTCTAGATTAGTCTAGCTGGATGTTGGAGAGGGTCTAGATCAGTCCAGGTGGATGTTGGAGAAGGCCTAGATCAGTTTAGGTGGATGCTGTAGAGGGTCTAGATTAGTCCCAGTGGATGTTGTAGAGAGTCTAGATCAGTTTAGGTGGATGTTGGAGAGAGTCTAGATCAGTTTAGGTGGATGTTGAAGAGGGACTAAATCAGTCCAGGCGGATGTTGGAGAGGATCTAGATCAGTTTAGGTGGATGTTGGAGAGAGTCTAGATCAGTTTAGGTGGATGCTGTAGAGGGTCTAGATTAGTCCCAGTGGATGTTGGAGAGAGTCTAGATCAGTTTAGGTGGATGTTGGAGAGGGACTAAATCAGTCCAGGCGGATGTTGGAGAGGATCTAGATCAGTTTAGGTGAATGTTGGAGAGAGTCTAGATCAGTTTAGGTGGATGTTGAAGAGGGACTAAATCAGTCCAGGCGGATGTTGGAGAGGATCTAGATCAGTTTAGGTGGATGTTGGAGAGAGTCTAGATCAGTTTAGGTGGATGTTGGAGAGGGACTAAATCAGTCCAGATGGTGTTGGAGAGAGTCTAGATCAGTTTAGGTGGATGTTGAAGAGGGACTAAATCAGTCCAGGTGGATGTTGGAGAGGATTTAGATCAGTTTAGGTGGATGTTGGAAAGGTCTAGATCAGTTTAGGTGGATGTTGGAGAGGGACTAAATCAGTCCAGATGGTGTTGGAGAGAGTCTAGATCAGTTTAGGTGGATGTTGAAGAGGGACTAAATCAGTCCAGGTGGATGTTGGAGAGGATTTAGATCAGTTTAGGTGGATGTTGGAAAGGTCTAGATCAGTTTAGGTGGATATTGGAGAGGGTCTAGATCAGTTTAGGTGGATGTTGGAAAGGTCTAGATCAGTTTAGGTGGATATTGGAGAGGGTCTAGATCAGTCCAGGTGGATGTTGGAGAGGGTCTAGATCAGTTTAGGTGGATGTTGGAGACAGTCTAGATCAGTTTAGGTGGATGTTGGAGACAGTCTAGATTTGTCCAGGTGGATGTTGGAGAGGGTCTAGATTAGTCCAGGTGGACATTGGAGAGGGTCTAGATTAGTCCAGGCAGATGTTGGAGAGGCACTCATTCAGTTCAGCTGGATGTTGGAGAGGGTCTAGATTAGTCCAGGTGTATGTCAGTACAGTGCATTCAGTAATCTGACCATCTCAGTAAAGAAGCAGTCTGGTGTTGGTGAAATGGATGCTCTGCCAGATGTCAGGAGAGTGAAGAGCCCATCAGAGAGGGGTCGTCCACAATGCTGGCAGCCTTGCGGATGCAGCGCTTGTGGTAGGAGGCATAGATGGTGTGTAAAGACACCTCAATGGTCTTCTCAGCCATCCTATAGGGTCGTAGGTTTGGAGACACTGCAGTTTCCGTGCCAGACAGTGAGACAACTGGTCAGGGCGCTCTCTACTGCCCCCTGTAGAATAATCAATTTCCACTATTTTAAACATGTAAAGTAATATATTTTCTTCTTTGTCTTCTAGGCTTTTTTCTATGACTTGGAGAAGGTGAGACTGACTTTGGTTCTGTAACGCACACATGTTAGAGATCTCTCAAAGTTTTGTCCCCCAGTTTGGCAAAGCTGGGTGTCAAATCCAATGAATAAATACATTTCTGTTTTTCTGACAACAGGAGATCAGAGCCCTGGAAAGATACATACGCCGGCTGGAGTTCCAAATTAGTAAGGTAATGCTGTCTAATTTGAACTCCTATTCAGCATTTGGGCTTTGATTACAGTCATTAATTATAGCTAGTTGTTAAATTATACACACGATTCAGGTTCTAAAATCTGATTGGTTGTTGGACAATGTTCTGTGTGGATGATTCTACCCAACTGGCTCAAAGGCAGTAACATTTGGGACTTTTAACTGATCTTGGACTTTAGTCCTTTTGCCCTGAGTGACTCTAAACCTATTTTATTAAAACTTATGATTGAACTTTCCATTTTGTTGCTACCAAAACAATCATAACTCTACCAAACTTTACCAAATGTTTCAGTAGTGACTGTTTCAGTGACACCTTTAGCTCAGAAACTCAGCCAGTACATGACCAGCAAACACAGCTTTGAACAGCTGTTCACACAGAAAATCATCATATTTATGATTAAAACACTAAAAAGTGCTGAACTGCAGAAAATATGATGATTCTCACGATTATATGACTAAAACTCTGTGTTTTGTGTCATTTAGTGACATGAAACTGAAAATTTTTGAACAATGTTTTTTTATTTAAAAATTAAACTCATGTTAAATCTAAATCTTTCAGCTTCACATCAAAAGAAATCTATACAATATATACATTGTAGCTCATTCAAAGCAATATTATGTGCATTTAATATTTATCACTGAAGTACTTTGTTGCTCCCAGAATGCCTATATGAGGATCTGACTCACTGTTTATTACATAACCCTTTGAAAGAGATTCAAACATATGTTCCCAGATATATTGTATCCTTGGACATGATCATACGGAATGGAAATGTATATGTTTGTTGTGGCTGGATACAGGTGGAAGAGCTGTATGAGACGTATTGTATCCAATGGCGACTGTGTCAGGGAGCAGTGAACATGAAGCGAGCGTTCTCCCTCTCTCCGTCCTCACGAGCGTCCAGAGAGAGTCTGCTGGAGCTCAGCCGCAACCACAGACACAGCCTGGAGGTACACATACACACATACATACAGCACATACATATAATATAGCATGTTTAAAGGAACAATGAAACCTATCTAGCAGTTTATTTTCTCTGCCATATGAAACCAAATCCCTGCCGATACGAGAGGGTCAGATATGCTCTACAGCAATGGAACGTTATTAAACTTTCTACCATAATATCAGAAACTAAGATTATAATGTTTTTCAGAATCACAGCTTTCTTAGATTATTCCAAAATGTTTAAGAAGCACTAGTAAACATTTCACCACAGGTATTATAGGGGGAGTAAAGCACAACACATTTTAGTTTTAATAAACTATTTCATCAAAATTCATATTTGTAGACAGGCAATGTTTTATACACAAAAAACACATTTATGTATACTAAACAGCCGACAGCAGTTTAGACTCACCCACTCATATAATAGGGAGTGTTTCAGCCTGATCTACTTGCATGACACAAGACAGCCAATCAGAAGAGAGCCATTTACATATATTAGCACAGTAACAAAATCAGCATCTTTAATTCCCAGGGATAAAGAGAGGATGCAAAATGGTCATGTGACTGTTTTTGGTACAAAAAATACACATAACATCATAAGTGGACTTAAAATACTTACCTAAAAGAGAAAATTGGAGGATATGGGCCCTTTAAAATTAGAAACAATTGGAGTTTTATATAGTGATATAGAATTAAAACTGGTAACTGTCCCATCTCTAATGCTGTACCATTTCCTACTGGACTGTAGAAGAAGGCTTTTAGCTCATGGGGACTCAGACTCGGATTTTCCAGTGAAGCTGCTTTGTGACAATGCCTGTTATAAAAAGCGCTACATAAATAAACCTTTAAACCTCAGAGAACATTGAGGGTGACCCTCATTTACAATGATGCCGAGTTGATACAGGAAAAGAGGATTGATGATGTGTAAGAACACATCAAATAATAAAAGTAGTAATGTAGTAATAAAAATGACTCAAATCAGGTAAGTATAAAAAAATGTAACATTAAAAATAAAAATACATAAAAACAGTAGAAAATATAAAACATTAATTAAAATGTAACTAAAAGGTGAAAGTTAATAAAATCAAAAGAAGATAAATAAAACAAAAGGAGGATAAGATCAAAAAAGGAAACTAAAATTAATTAAAATGACTGAAATAATAATAAAATAGTTAAAACAAGAATAAGAATACAAATAATAATAATAAATACACAAGTAAATAAATAAAAAATAAATAAAATAACTAAAATAATAAGATGTTAATAGTGACAATCAAGTAAAAGCAGGCAGAGTGGAGGTGGTTAGAGAGTCATAGTTTAAACTGACTGAGTGACCCAGTGAGCTGAGCTGTAGTGTTTCCTGTGAGTTCCAGGTTGCTGGTGCTCTGGAACTAAAGGCAGATTTTCCCAGTTCACTATGAATGAAGATCACTCTACAGAGCTAGGCTAGTATCAAAAGGAGGTATAAAGGGGCACACTTTATTCGGATGGTCCCCTATAGATGCTCTACAGATACCTAAATCACTAACGAACTTTCTGGTGATGTTCAGTTAATTATCAACAACATTGTGGTTATGGTCAGGGTTAGGAGTAGGTGTAGGTTTTGCCTTGAGGTTAAGGTTAAGCTTAGGGTTAGATTTAATAAAATCTTTCATACTAACTTGAAGTTCAGTTGTTTATTTAACAGATATGTAGTTGAATGTTACTTAAAGACAGACTGAGCATTTACAAAGCATCTACAGTGGACCATCCAAATAAAGTGTTGCCGTAAAAAGTTTCAGAGTCTGTTTCTGCAAATGATGTTTAAAGTTAACACATCAGACACATTGTGGAGGCAGAGGTTACGCAGCACTGCTGGAGCTGCCGTTTAGGATTCAGGTCATTTGAGGGCAAAGTCATTCATTTAAACACTCATGAAAAGAAAAACACACAGCGGCTTGTATACACAGTCAGACACGTGTTAGCCAGGTTGAGCATCAGCCTCAGTGACCTGGTAGAGTTACCTGTGTGGAGAAACTCCAGTCTAAACTGTCTGAGATGTATTTCATAACAGAGAAGAACACTATTATAGATATGAAGGGTTGGGCAAAATGGAGATGGCTGAATACTGAATACAGGGTCCTTTAGCAGAGCTCAGTAACGCTGAGATTAATAACTGATCACGTTGATTTATTAGTCTACTCAGGCTTTCAGCAGAGCTCAGTAACGCTGAGATTAATAACTGATCACATTGATTTATCAGTCTACTCAGGCTTTAGCAGAGCTCAGTAACGCTGAGATTAATAACCAATCACGTTGATTTATCAGTCTACTCAGGCTTTAGCAGAGCTCAGTAACACTGAGATTAATAACCGATCACATTGATTTATCAGTCTACTCAGGCTTTAGCAGAGCTCAGTAACACTGAGATTAATAACTGATCATATTGATTTATCAGTCTACTCAGGCTTTAGTAGGAACTTCGGGGTTTGTAAAGAAGCTGTTAATTGAGGTCCACTTTAGAGCTTGTCTAATAAGCATGTTTGCTACACGTTGTGCGCCGATTTTAAAAATTGTAAATAATGAATCATCTACTGTGTTCCTTTTAAAGATTATGTGTGTTTTTTTATCTTAGGGTGTAAGTACTCTAAAAGCTCCTAAAAATGTAAAAACCTGGACTGAATACAGATACAGACATTTTTTTTCATTTCATATATATTTATATTGACCTTGAGTTACTGTAAGAAAATAGGATGTAATTAAATATGGACTAAAATAGGCTATTGTAAAAAAAATCACTGTAAAATTACAGTAAATTACTGTAGTTCCATTACAGTAAATAACCACAGAAAACTGCAGACTGTGACTCCACTTTCAGCTGGACTGGATGCATTTTTACACGACTGTAAAAGTAAAGCAACTCAGCAACCAGTAATTTATTGTAAATTTATGTTTACAGTAAATTACTGTGTTATTACAGAAGATGTAATTAAGTAAATTGATTTCACAATAAAATAATGAATACAGCATTTTGGACTGAAAAATTACTGTTAATTATTGTGAGTTCCTGATAATAAATAACAATGATACCAGTTGTGTAATTTGAATTACTGGCTGTGAATATGGTGCTGCTATGTGCCGCCAGGTGGTCGAAGCTCAGCAGTGTTTGTGTTTGCAGGATATGTGTGCGATGGAGGGAGAGCTGGAGATCCTTCTGGGTGAACTGCAGATCAAAATGAAAGGTACAGATCACTTTCTCTCCTACAGACTGCATTTCTGAGCTTTTCCTGTTTAATACACAAAACTGTTTCTCCTCTCTCTCCTCCTCTCTCTATGTCTCTCTCTCTCTGTCTTTCTCTCTACTCTCTCTCCTTCTCTATTTCTCTCTCTCTTGCTCTCTACTCTCTTTCTCTCTCTCTCTCCTTCCCTCTCTCTTTCTCTCTCTCTCTCTCTCTCTCTCTCTCTCTCTGGCAGGGCTGATAGGCTTCGCTCGTCTGTGCCCGGGGGATCAGTATGAGGTCAGTGAATGCTCTCAGCAGTTTTGTGTAGGAGTTCTGTTTCTGGGTCACTTTTAGTTTTTAGTCCTCAGTTTTCTAAAACTCAGACTGATGGAAATCTTAATCTGCAGCAGCGCTGCAGCTCTGAGCTTCAGGTAAATGAGGAGGAGAATGCAGTTGGGACTCTCTGATGCCAAGACGAATCATAGAAACTCCCTATTTCATGAACTATTTGGATTATATGCTGTAGGCCAGGTTTCCAGTGACCTCACCGTCCCCTGTAAAGTGGAATGAGGTTGCAGGACCAGTCAGCCAGTCAGCCAGTCAGCGTAGACGACATACAGTTCAGTTTCCTCCACTGAATTTTCACAAATCCTAGATAATGAAGTGGTTAAGATGTAAACAGAGTCGTTCAGAGTGATTTGGTGTGAAACGCTTCGTTCTAAAGAAACTTAACAAAAACAAAAACTAACACAGTTTCATATATCCGCCTATTCAGCCAACAACTATTTAGACCCGCCCACTCACACTGAAGCTATAAGGGGTGATTTATCAGAGGACTTGTAGAGAGGAGAATATCCACTCTGTAATGTCTGCCCGGTTTTCTCAAACGCTAGAGGGCGCTCCCGAGCAAGTCCAAAATGAATGGGTTAAGATGGAGAATTTGAGCAAAATCATAGTTTATAAATGTTTAAACATCTTTAATGTAAAATAATTAATTCATTTCCTGAAGACAGAGCAGCATAACACATTTTAACACTGCTGTTATATTTTTAAGAGCTTTTAAACTTGAGTTATAGGAGTTTAAAGCAGCGCCTAATGTATGTTCATGATGTTTGTGAGCTCCGCTCGCCAGCCAATCAGCACTCAGTAGCAGTATTGTGAGCGTCCTGCTGCCCAAAACCCGTTTGCTGCAGAAAAACTTTTTTAGTGAAATCCATCCTTCTACTTTCTAAAATTAAAGGTGAGTTCTGGGCGAGTGATTAGAAACTATTTTAACTTTTTGGGCTCCATTCACTCCCATTCATAGAGGACTCACTCGCAGGCGCCCTCTGGCGTTTTGCCGTCATGTTTTTGATATAACGCTGGAAATAGGATGTGGCCAGACTTCTCATAAACCAGCTCTGGTTTATCCCAGACTGATTTTTGAGACACAGTAGAGGGCACCCAATCACAACAAAGCTCATTTACATATATCAGTCCTACATATATTTATATATATCATGTGTATATCCTACAAGGAACTCTCTTGTCTCGTTGTTCCTTATAATTTTTGTTACTGTGCCTTTAAGACATATATGTAAATGAGCTCTGTTCTGATTGGCTTGTGCCTCATTGTAGCAGCAGCATAAACTGAAACGCTTTAAGTGCAAACAGTGTGAGACCTTACTGTGCATACAGTACACATGCGCACTCAAACCGAGCTGGACCTCTGTGTAGGTGTTGATCCGGTTGGGCCGCCAGCGGTGGAGAATCAGGGGGCGGATCCAGACCGACGACAGACAGCTGTGGGACGAAGAGGAGATGGTCTTCCTCCCTCATATCCACGAGAACTTTGAGATCAAGGTGAGCGACACATTCACACAGACACCTGTTCAAACAGCGCGGCCTCTGAAGGCCGTCTGTGGGGACACGATGACAGAAAGGTCCCTTTTGTTCATGGCAGCGTCAGGTTTCATACGAGTCCTGAGTGAGAGATCTGGCAACCCTCTCTGGCAAATGCTGCGACACATTATGAAGGGATTTCCTGTTTAGTATAGATTCCATTCCTGGAACTGCAGATGGAAAGTGAACATTATACATTTATCTCCTCTTTTTCTGGCTCTGTAATGAAACATGAGTCAGCAATTTTTTTGCAGTCATACATGATTCTAAATCATGAATATGTGCGATTGTCTGCCATCATGCTCTGGGGAACAGTTACAGTCTGCTTCGTTTTTATAGAGTTTGGCAACACACTTATTAAAACATTCGGAGTGTCCTTCGTAGGACGCATGGGCCTCAGCTTCTATTTTGGGTGGCTGGTTATAGTTCTTTATCCTGAAAGCAGTAAACCACATATCAGTCTGAACAGTTAACCCTCTGTGGTCTGAGATCATTTCTTTGATTTGTTCATCTCTTCTTAAACTCTCCTTTAAAGGCTCTTCATATAACATGATCCTCATATGTTTCATATCTAAATGCTCCGTTATCTTCGTCACTACTTTCCAAAACCGCTGCAGCAGCTTCAGCAGCTGTAAACTCTCTGCACGCCGTTTCACACGAGTCTCCGATGTGGACTGAATGAAGAATGAAGGGTTTCCGGCGTGATGGTCAGTCCTTAGTGATTTCCTGAGTGTCCGTTGGTCAGTTTCACACAGAATGTAGACGGACACACGAATCCACCAGTTCCACACGGTGAGAGGCAGATGATGTGTATCTCAGCCCCTCTTCATAGGCTCATAACTCCGGATGTGAGTCTCGTATGATCTCGTGATAAGATGGAATGGAAAGGGCGACTCTACAGATTCAGGAAGTGTTTGAACTGGATTTCTGAGCTGGATCATCACAAAGATACAAACACAGATATAGAGATGCAGAATTTGATGTGCAGGTGAGTTTGTGGACCCCAGAGGGTTAAAGGGCTCATATTGTGAAAAAAAGAGAGTTTCTAAATGTACCGTTTGCTCTCCAGTCTATACAGACCGGAGGAAACTAAGCTGCACAACAGCCTGTCATTGTTTTTGTGATGTCACAAAAACCAACACCCATATATCCACTTATTTGGCCAACAGCAGTTTAGCCCCGCCCACTCACAGTGAAGTTATTAAGAGTGTTTCAGCCCAGACTGCTTTATGTGACACAGTAGAGGGCAGCCAATCACGATAAAGCTCATTTACATATATTAGCCTTAAAGAGCATATATCTGACACGGGACCATTTTCTGTTGTCTCTGTATGCCTTAATAATTTGTGTTACTATGCCTTTAAGACTGATGTATGTAAATGAGCTCTGTTCTGATTAGCTTGTGCCTCATTTTATCAGCAATGTGGACTGAAACACTCCTTATAACGTCACTGCGAAGGTGGAGGTTGGAAGGTGATCATGTAAAAAAGAATGTTTTTTCTACATAAAAACATACAAACATGGTTTCTCAGCTAAAGTGGATCTCAGGTTGAAGAAATTAAAAGAACCCTTTAAGCTGTTCTTAACAATGAATTGCTTTTGGAGAAGCCGGACGAAGCAAATCCCAAAAGTGAAGCCAAAAGATATCAGTCTACAAATCAGAGCAGAAACAGAAATAAACACAGTGTTTGAAGGAGGTTTTAATGGAGTGTTTCACTCAAAAATGCTACTCAGACTAAAAGTGAATTAAAGGCAGCAGTTACTGTGAACTACAGTCATTCATTTACATTCACTGCTGCTGCTGCTCACAGCATTACTGACCAAAGCATTCCTGCAGCTCACTGTGGCTGACCATAACAGTGCAGGAGTTTAGGGATGAATGAAAGAATAGGAGAAAGGAAAGAATGAAAAGAGACGAGAGAAAGAAAAAGAGAAAAGTAGTTAAAGAAAAGAAAGTAAGAAAGTAGTAAAAAAAGAAAGAAAGAAAGAAAGAAAAAAAAGAAAGAAAGAAAAAAAGAAGAGGAAAAAGAAAGCCCAACAAAGAGAGAGAAAGTAACGAGAAAAACCTACGATGAGAAAAAACTAACCAGTACTGCTACTGAGTGCTGATCGGTTAGCATTACTGCTACTGAGTGCTGATCGGTTAGCATTACTGCTACTGAGTGCTGATTGATTAGCATTACTGCTACTGAGCGCTGATTGGTTAGCATTACTGCTACTGAGAGCTGATTGTTTAGCATTACTGTTACTGAGTGCTGATTGGTTAGCATTACTGCTACTGAGAGCTGATTGTTTAGCATTACTGTTACTGAGTGCTGATTGGTTAGCATTACTGCTACTGAGCGCTGATTGGTTAGCATTACTGCTACTGAGCGCTGATTGGTTAGCATTACTGCTACTGAGAGCTGATTGGTTAGCATTACTGTTACTGAGTGCTGATTGGTTAGCATTACTGCTACTGAGTGCTGACTGGTTAGCATTACTGCTACTGAGCGCTGATTGGTTAGCATTACTGCTACTGAGCGCTGACTGGTTAGCATTACTGCTACTGAGAGCTGATTGGTTAGCATTACTGTTACTGAGCGCTGATTGGTTAGCATTATTGCTACTGAGTCCTGATTGGTTGGCACTGCTGCTGCTGAGTGCTGATTGAAAAGCGTTAAAACAGCAGTGTTTAAGTATTTTATGCTGTCCTGTGTTGAGAAAATGAGCAGATTTTTCTGTATAAAGAAATCCAGATCCAGCTTGGACTCTTTCAGGAGCGCCCTCTAGTGTCTGACTGACCTGGATGTCATGGTGAAACCTGGTTGTGTCAACAGTCTTGTATAACAGATGGATTACATTGCTGCCCAAGGCCCAGTTTGAACAATGAAAACTGAATTTTGAATTTTGTGCAAGTTCTGCCATTTGATTCAAGACTTATGTTTCTAGTTGTGGGTTAGTCAACAGCATTTTCCTTTCTTATATTTATCTAGATGTTAATAGAGTGTCCTGGTGTGCTATGGGGTGAAATGTTGGGTGAACGCATGGTTTCCTCTGCTTTGGGAAAGTGTATCAGGGCTGAATTTATACTTGTGTCTGATTATCATCCCCACATTTGACACAGCAGTTATCATTAGTTAGCAGTGGTTCCCATTTAGATCAAACGTTCCTTGCGCAGAATTCGGACACGTGAGTTTCATTTACTGTTTGGTCACACATTTGCAAATGAAAACATCTTGTGACCTCTTGTAGGTAACGGAAGTGAAGGGCTTGAGCTCCATCCTGGTCGGCATGGTAACGTGTAAGAGCGCAGACTTCTTCATGGCTCGTCCACAGCTGATGGTTGTTGACATTACGGAACTGGGAACCATCAAACTACAGCTGGAGGTGGTCTGGAAGTAAGTGGGGCCGCATACCTGCATGATATAACTCATCTGCCACACATATAAGATGTGTTTACAAGAAAGGCACGAGACGTTTCTTCAGCTTGGACCACTCAGGCTAATAAATCAGTGTTCGTTTAGATACTGTTATTTATTCTGTGACAATATCTCACAGTTGAAATGGCCTAAACAGCTTCAATAAGAGAAATTACACACTTTACAGATACATACAGGAATATTCTACAGTTATTTAAAAGTCACAGCCTACACAGTGCAGTTCGGCACATTATAAACCCTGTAATGAAAAAGGTGAGAGTGTTGCATTGTTGACCAATTCAATTAACACAGTACAACACTTTTAACTGATCTGGACTTTAGACTAAATTTCATTTTGTCATTACCAAAACAATCATAACACTACCCAGTCTAGAGGTCGGCAACCCAAACGTTAACAAGAGCCATTTTGTCTTTTCAAAAATAAAAAAAACAAACCACCTCAGGAGCCACAACATTTTATGTCCGTTTTAACATCTTGGCTGTAAATATGTCTCAGTATGCGCTGATGTACTAGTATAGACTAAAAATATAATAAAAATGAAAACTCAGACTTACTGTGCTCTGCTTTAAGCTTTAGCTCAGCTACAGCCACTTTTCTCGCATCTCCAGCAGGAAACTTTTCTGCAAAAATAGACTAATTTCTTGTAAAATGTCTCTCAACGTTTGACTTTTTATGAGGCTGAAGTCGCTTCTCATTCGACAGCTTCTTGTTCGAATTTTCCCGTTCCACCTTAAATGGTGCCTGAGACGCCAGAATGTAACTGCTGCAGCATTTAAGGTGGAATGGGAAAATTCGAGCAAGAAGCTGCCGAATGAGAAGCGACTTCAGCCTCATGACTTTTCAGTGTTTGAGTTTCTCACTGCAGATTAAACGTATCAGGAAACCAGCTGGAGTGATTATAAACGCAAATGAGTCCATTTATCTCCAAATTATTGATGTTCGTCTTAAATCTCTCTCTTTGGCGTTTCGTTAGCTACTAGCTAGGCGAGATTGTCTGTGTTGCTATGGTGACCAGCAGTCTGCGCTGATCTTCAGGGTTAAAGGGTGAATTAGCAGTTCTACATTAACTCCAGAGTTTAAGACCATTTATTGTTAAACTGTGTTGAACGATCAGCAGAGCTTTATTTTACTGTAAAGGAGGATTATTTTATTTTTACCTACAAATCTAATTCTGCTGTGGAGCCTCAACAGGGCAGTATGAGCCGCATGTTGCCGACCCTTGACCCAAACTTTACGCAGAACTCAAAAAATCACCAGAACATGATCAGCAAACACAGCTTTGAACAGCTGTTCACACAGAAAATCGTCATATTTTACATTAAACCACTAAAAAGTGCTGAACTGCAGAAAATATGACGATTCTTAATGTTCCACACTGATTTTCAGACTTTGGGACTCATTTACTTCAAAACAATGGGATGATGTCAAGCTGGTAACAACAGAAGAACCCTTTTTGGTGCTATAAAGAACCATTTTCAAAAAGGTTCTATGTAGAACCATATACAACACGTTCTCCATCAATCTGTTTTGCCATGCAAAGAATCATTTAATCATGCACATGGTTTTTTGAGTGTTCATGGTTCTATGTAGAACCACTGTCTTTACTGAAGAACCACTGAAGGACAGTCTTTTAAGAGCGTAGTACAGTTTAAACCTCTGTAAATTGTGAACAGTGTTTTTAAGATGAAAGAAGAGAGAAAACTGCTTATTTTTGTTCTATAGCATTTCAGTAACAGGAGTTTCTGAATGTGTGATTTATGCATTTCAAGATTTAATTTGAGCTCATGAGACTCGATTTCTTGAGAACGTTTGATGTTCTCGGTGCTGTGCTAGAGTATGGAATGTGCAGGAACGTCTTGCAGCTGGGGAAGGCCATCATCGCGCTGAGGAATGCTGTCGGAGGCAGATTTCAGAGCCGTTATTCTGTAATTGAGCAGAAACATGCAGAGAAAATTCCCAGCATCACACAAACCCCTCAGTGAAGCACTTCAGCACTAACGCAGGCCAGCTGTGGAGGAGCAGCTGATCACAGAGAACAGGACACACCCAAACTCTCTTCATCCCCTCTGTCTCTCTCTCTCTCGCTCTCTCCATTCCCCTCTCTCACTCTCTCTCTCTCTCGCTCTCTCCATTCCCCTCTCTCACTCTCTCTCTCTCTTGCTCTCTCTCTCTCTCTACTCCCTCTTCTGTCTCTCTCTCTCTCCATTCCTCTCTCTCACTCTCTCTCTCTCTCTCTCTCTGCTCCCTCTTCTGTCTCTCTCTCTCCATTCCTCTCTCTCACTCTCTCTCTCTCTCTCTCTCTATCTCTCTCTCTCGCTCTCTCACTCTCTCTCTCTACTCCCTCTTCTGTCTCTCTCTCCATCCCCCCCTCTCTCTCTCTCTCTCTCTCTGCGCATGCGCGGGTGTGAGCGGTAGAGTGAGCGGAGCGCGGTGAGCGTGAGTGCGAGTGGTTGGCGTTTTGCCAAACTTTTTTTCTCTGTTGTTACGTCGTTGTCAGTCTGTATCTGTAGTTTGTTTGAGTGAGTTTGTGTGTGAGTGTGTGTGTGTGTGTGAGTGAGGTGTGGTGGGGTGTGTGCGGGGCGTCAGTTACCGGCGTTTTGCTGGGAGCATGGCGTCCCAAAGCCCTAGGCTGTATGAAAGCCTGTCTCGCCGGCATGGTGTAAAGGTGGAGTGCCGCGCGAGTGTGGAGGAGTGCTGTTTGGCGGCGGGGAGCGTCGTCGGGTACAATAATGTTGTGTCTGCTTCGCGCATGAACAGCGCTGTGGTGATGTTCCTGTCCACTGTGGACAAAGCTAATGAACTGGTGCAGAGTGGACTCATGATTAATGATCAGTTCGTGTCTGTTCTGCCCCTCAGTACTCCGTCCAAAAAGATTATTCTGTCAAACGTCCCCCCGTTTATCTCTGACGAGCTGATCGCTCAGGAGCTGTCCCGGTTTGGAAAACTTGTCTCCCCCATTAAAAAGATCCCCCTCGGCTGTAAATCGCCCCTGGTGAAGCACCTGGTGTCGTTCAGGAGGTTGGTGTTCATGGTGCTGAGAGATGGTGAGGACGAGCTGGACCTGGTGCTGAAGTTCAGAGTCGAGGGGTTTGAGTACACGGTGTTTGTGTCGTCTGACACCAACATGAAGTGCTTCAGGTGCGGCCTGACCGGACATCTCGTCCGAGCCTGCCCTGAAAAGCTCAGCGCTAACGCTAATGATGCCGGGAGCGCGGAGCGGCCGGGGCCTGCCGCGGCTGAGCCCGCGGTGGCCGTCCCCCCTGCGGCTGCTGCTCGGCCGGCTGCGCGGGACCCGGCGGCTGCGGCGCCTGCGGGGGAAGAGCCGGCTGCGGCCGTGCCGGCCTCGGAAATGTCTGCTGGGGTTGCGCCGGCCGCGGACGAGCCTTTCCCGGCGGCGCTAACCGCGGAGGAGCCCGCTGTGGACGAGCCTGGTGGTGAGGAGCAGGAGCGGGGGATTCCTGACCCGGGGGAGCAAGATAACCAGGTAAGGGACAGCGGTACTGAGATCAGTCTAGCTGGTACAGCAGTGGAGGTGGAAATGGAAGTGGAGACTGTTTTTAAAGTTCCTAATAAAAGAAAGAAGCGGAACCGAGGGAAGGGCACTAAACAGGCCAAAACAGACAGCAGTGCGGTGAATGAAGTGGAGTCTGAGAGCGAAGGCTCTCTGTCTGACTCGGGCTGGTCGGTGTGCTCGCAGGAAGAGAACATGGCTGTGCTCTATAAAGTTGACGATATAAGAAAGTTCTTGCGGGTCACTAAAGGCCAAAAGGGCGTCCGTGTTGAAGAGCACTTCCCAAATAGTTCACAGTTTATCCATGACGTCAGGCATTTTAGGAGGGAAGGGTCCTTCACCGCTTTAGAAGTCTACAGGCTGAAGAAGATCCTGACCAGACTTAATAAAGTGAGCACTGAGGATGAGATCTGACACTTCCTGCCCTCCCTGGTTCAGAATGGCCTCTGTTTTTAGTGTTTTTTATCTATTTTATTTTTTAATGGGTGATGTCAGAGTGGCGAGTCTGAACATTAATGGGGCGAGAGACTGTGGAAAAAGAGCAAAGCTATATGAGTTGGTGAAGCAGAAGAGACTTGATGTAATATTTGTACAGGAAACGCATAGTGATGTCAGTAACGTGGCAGACTGGGCTAAAGAGTGGGAGGGGCTTGCCTTTTTAAGTCATAACTCTTCTTCCAGTGGTGGGGTGGCTGTTCTTTTATCACAGAGTTTTACTCCTTGTTCTTATTCAGTGGATGAAATTTTAAATGGCAGACTTTTAAAAGTGACAGCGTGTTTTGAGAACACTGTTTTTGTTTTTATTTGTGTTTATGCCCCAACTGGGGGGATGGACAGGATGTCCTTTTTGGACACTCTGGACACCGTAATTGCAGGTTGTGGTTCTGATGAGTTTTTAATACTGGGTGGGGATTTTAACTGTACAGCAGACAGCATGGACAGGAACCACATGGAACCGCATGCTGCGTCCCGTAAGAGATTGTGTGAGATGCTGGAGGCCCATGACTTGTGTGATGTCTGGAGGAACTTCCATGGAGGGCAGAGACAGTATACCTGGGCACATTCAAGAGATAACACACTCTCATTGGCAAGGCTGGATCGATTTTATGGTTTTAGGTATCAACTTTCTGCTTTTACACGCTGTCTTATCTCCCCAGTTGGTTTTTCAGACCATTGTATGGTCCAGTGCACAATAAGGAAACGTAACGTTAAGCCACAGAGTGCATACTGGCATTTTAACACTGCGCTTTTAGAGGATGCCAATTTTAGAGAGTCTTTTACTTTTTTTTGGGATGTTTTTAGCTCAATGAAAACATCTTTTAGCTCTCTGCTGCAGTGGTGGGACATAGCTAAAATACAAATTAAAGTATTCTGTCAGCAGTACACTCTCAATGTCACAAGGGACATAGCCAGATCTCTCAAAGCTCTGGAGACTGAAATAGTGGC